ACTAATGATAAAATTTGAGATTAGAGTGTGTGTGCGACATAATATAGAAATGGGTTCACATATCAATACGTAGCTTATATTATATAGATATTCAACTAATTTTGTTCACAAACTATGATTTCCCCATAAAAATAGGACCGCCCCCCCCCCCCTCTCAAAGGGTTTAGGTGGGAATGGCAGTAGATGAATTCGCCCCCCCCCCCTTCCACCCAATCGGAAAACAGAGGAACGACATAATATAATGATCGGTTACAACACCAATAACACGTTTTAATCATGTAGATATTTAATTGATTCTGTAGCAAGCTGTGATTTCTACAAATTTATTAGACCGCCCCCCACTCGAAATTTTATGGGGTGGGGGGCGGGATTGAAGACATCGCCCCCTCCCGACCCCACCAAATCGGCCAAAATGCCTGAGTGGGGGCGAAATAATCTAAAAATTGGTTGAAATATAAATAATTAGCATATATTATAAACATAAGTAATAAATTCGTATACAAATTGTGTGAATTCTATACTAAAATACGTCCCTACCGCCCCCGCCCCCTGGATCCGCCAGTGCCAGGCACTCAACTTTTTCTGAACGCCTCCTGTCAAACCTCATTTCTACTACAATGCACGAGGAGTCTAATGAAACTAAAATATCTTTCTCATAAGAGATTGTGTACTGTATTATCTTGTCAGTGTTTCCCAAACTGTGTTCCGCGGATTCCCTGTGTTCCACGAGGCCTGAATAGGTGTTCCTGGAATAATTAATTAGTAGTTTGTCACGTAAACTAATCTCCCTTGAAAAAAAAAAAAAAAAAAAAAAAAAAGCAAACTGCTCCTCTAAATGCTTAGAAGTGTTCCGTTCATGAAAAAGTTTGAGAAACACTGATCTAAATGATACAGTCTTGTATTTTGGCATTACATATTCGATTGTATGTAGGATGCATTAGCTCTTGTACATTTCATTACTTCTAGGCACACAAACTGGTGGTCGTCGAATGAAGAAATATGCAGAACTATCTAGCAACTAGGCACACTTATGGTACCTCTCATTCCTAATAGCCCCTCCTCTAACCATCCTCTGAAACTCACTCTTTCTTCCTCTCATTCCTCATCCTCTTACTTCTCGTAACTCCCTTCCCACCCACCCCCACACACACTTCTATGCCTAACTTGAGGTCCATCTAACGCCAAACTTTTCCTTCTACCTTTCCCCTTGGCCCTCCCATTTAGCGCCCAAATCCTTCCACCGGTTTGACTTCTATCAAATACCCTTTATCTCCCTTTTACGCAACTTTGACTTCCATCTACCAACCTTTGCCTACCAGTTAGGGCCTCTTTACTTCCATCTATCAACCTTTGCCTACCATTTAGGGCCTCTTTGACTTCCATCTACCAACCTTTGGCTACCATTTAGGGCCTCTTTGACTTTCATCTATTAACATTTGCCTAACATTTAAGGCACCTTTGACTGTCCTCAACCACTGTTTGGTCGTGTGGTTTGCGCTCTGGACTGTCGTTTGGATTTATCGATGGTCTCGTGTTCAAACCCTGCCTGCTTCCATCCCTAGTCGTCCTGCGGAATATTTGGACTAGGAAGTAAACTATCTTCAACATCCGAAACATCGAAGCAGGGCGTTTTTGCGCCGCCGTTTTGGCGCAAGGGAAGTTTTGACGCGAAATACTTTATGTAGACCTACGTTTATTGTATTATTTCTTTACAAAAGAATTATGCATATCTCTGTTTTGCATGAATGTTTGTGTTAAGACATATTTTTAAACACATTTTAAGCGAAAAACATTAGTAGCTTTCGTACATTATTTATGTTATTTGAGTAATTATTTTTATATCTGCTGCTAAAACCTTTTTTTTTTTTTTTGTGAGCAATAACAAGTCCATTAATCAATATGACTTATCATTTACTACATGTAAATGTATGTTTGTGTTTCACATCATTTTCATAAATAAACATTTTGGCTTGTGTATGTGTGTTTATTAAGAGGCACATTTTTATTTTCACAATTTTTTGTTTAAGGTATTACATTAAAATTAAAAACAGATTATCGTCTTACGCATGAGAGAGGGAAGGGGTGGAGGAAAGAGTATATACAAGGAGTGAAATGTGCGCAGAATAGAGGGGTCGGGATAGGTGTCACAGGTAATGACCAGTCCCAAGGAGATGATCGCCAGACGCATGACGCCAACGACCAGTGCTCGGTGCTGGTCTTGTCTTCATTTGTTTAACTATACCTGCGACAATGCGAGATGTGTCACCCAAATCACCCCTACCCAATTTTTCAAAATATATCTTTTCAAAGTATCTGCCTGGTCGTGTGGTTTGCACGCTAGACTCTCGTTCAGATTCATCGATTGTCCCGGGTTCAAACCCTGCCCGCTCCCATCCCCCGTCGTCCTGCGGGAGGCTTGGACTAGGAAGTAATTATCTTCAACTCTGAAGGAACATCCGAAACTTATAAAACATGTTACAAACATCTCAGTGTCGTGAATTTGTTTCCATCTATTGTCGCCCCTAGTGTTTGTTTACATTTGTGGATTCCCGTTAGAGTTTGTGCTGACCACATTCCGTGTCTTGATCTTTACTATGTGTGGAGTTATTGTCATTCAGCGTTATATTAAAGTATGGCACTTAGCTAGTTCGTATATTACACTAATGTCAAATTTAAAAAAAAAAAGTCTTTTGGAAAGAAATCGAAAAATGTTTGATTAGCAGAACTCACATATAAATGAAGGGGAGGGGATAGCATGTCATTACCATTCAGGAATCTGATTTATTATAGGCCTATATTCATGAAATAAGCAAAACTTGTATATTTTTTTAAAAAATTCGCTGGACTGTACTATACATAAAATATTATGGTAGAGTGAAATAAACATTGTTATAAAAGCTACGTGCTTATTAAATTATCGTCAAATTATATCTCGCGCCAAAACGTCCCCTGCGCCAAAACGGCTTGCGCCAAAAAGGGCGCCGCCAAAAGGTCACGTACCGCGAAACATGTCAAACATTTGACAAACAAGCTCTATGTCTTGTCTTCTTCACTCTCCCGCTATTCTTCCACTTTCGCGAAAACCTTTGTGCACCCAGCTGAACCCCGATACTTACTTTTCCTAAACTGATATTTTTTAGGAAATCCGTTGTATGAAATGAAGACGCAAGAGGAGAAAGAAGAGTTTACCAGTGGAGAAGGAGTTTTCTTTCTTTGTCTAAGTTTTCCATTTTTACAGTAGTGTTAATTGGCTTTAAAAAAATGTTTATTAATTTGTTATCTTATTTCTAGTTAAATAATGAACTAGAGAGAGAGGGGGGGGAGAAAGAGAAAAAGTGAGAGGAAGAGACAACTTTTTAGAGAGAGAAAGCGGAGGATATTCCAGTTACCGTCGCCTCAGCGTGGCGCCTCAGTGGAAACGTCCGCCAGGGAAATTGGACAAGCTAAGAATGGTAACTAACATAGCTCTCAGTGGGCTTCCACAAGTACCCTACAGAGAGGGTACATTGCACCTGGTAGGGATGTAAAAAAAAGGCTCGCTAAACCAGTCCAAAACCCCCATCAGCCCGTTTCCCAAAGGGGCCCATGCGTGTGGTGATGGTCCCCGTCCCCCCACGGGTACGATGGGACAGCATAGGCATAAGGATGGCCCCCACGTGGGGCTTGAGCTTCCGGCCACACATGAAAGGAGGAATTCATGCAGAGGTTCGGAAGAACGTGCAACATGCCAAGACGGGTGTGAATAAATGATCACTTAGTCGACGGGAGCCTCCTGACAGGGAGATCGGTAAAGAACCAATTTCTCATCCTGCCTACGAGACAAAAACCTTTCTCGGGTCACATGGTTCATAAAAGGGGCGTGCTTGCCTTGAACCATTTGGACTTCTGAATCAGAGAGAGAAAGAAAACTCTACGTTATGGGACCTGATAACATTTTCAGGGCATGTTCAAAGACTTAGGAATTTATTTTTTTATTACAAATATGCTTGTAAAGACTTCATAATTGTAATGAACCACAAAACATCTAATCAAAGTAACAAACTCGAAAAACTTTATTTTATATTAATCTGCAGCATGTTATTTTCTATCTAGTTTCTACCTCACAACCTACACCAACAGGCCTAGCCGCTCCACTGTCTTCTGCATTCCTGGCCTCACGCTATCCCCGCTAGACTGACCCATTCAACCGCTGAACAGGTACAGAACAGGGGCGTAACTTAAGGGTGACGCTCATGCTCCACGAATTACACTCACACACACTAAAGTCCTTTCACAACAATGTCCGCTTGCAATGTGCATTTATCAAGAAAAAAATGCGATAATTAATCTAAAAATATTGTATCAATGTAAAGTCACTAGATCTACATGCGATAGTATTCATCAACAATGGGCCTATATAATCATAGTTAACTATATTTTATTATTCTATAAAGATTACATTGTTTTTTCTTTGGCGAAAATGAATATGTACTCACGTTTTTAATTTTTGTTTGATGTGTATTATGGAAGATAATAGTCTAAAAGCTTATTATTTTAAAGTTCCTGAAGTCAGTGCTGACAGCATCAAAAATATTTTTGTCTTTTAATTGAGGATATCATTTTTTAAATATCCGATTTTCAAGGTCTTAAGGATTTTCAGGATCTTAGGGTTTTTTTTTTTTTCAAACAAAAAATACCCAAATGGGATTTACATTTTATCAAGATATGGTCAGTACATGGACTAAATAAGATCTCTCTTTTTTTTCCCCTGACTCAGATCTATGTTGATATGCATTAGATAAGACGGGAGTAGGATAAGGTGAAGGTTAATGACTAGCATGATGTGTCAACGAAGATCTCGCGTGACTGGAGAACCCAAGCTTTGTCGAATCAGTTCCGACACCACTGACTCATGCAGACACACACATACACTTAATATATGTTAAAAACAAAACTCATTCAGTTTTTTAAATATTTTTTTAATATATTTTTTTAATGAAACGTTTGTTGCCTTAAATGATCTGGTCGCGAGGTTCGCACTTTAGACTGAAGAAGAGAATGGTAAGAGATCGATCCTTTATCTCCTGCAAAACTTTTGCCCAAGGATGACTGCTTTTTCTTGTGGTATCGGCTTCAGACGGCTCACAATGGTTAACTTGGCCACCGCCATTTTTTTTAATGTCCCGGCGGACAAAGGAGTAATAATCTTCATTCTTGAAGGAAAATCAGTAACTAGTAACTCATTTTAGGACCTACGATAATTACGTTCTAAGCCTATAAGGTTGTGACCGTGCGTCGCAGGTAGTTCGCGGGACATGTCATTCAACAGAATGAATCCCGCAAGAGTTGCGATGACACGAAGGCCATTACGAGGTAATCGCAAACAAGTGTGTCCTGGTATAACCTGGCGCCAGACCTTCATGGAGGACCTCAGAACAGTGGACACTGGCTGATGTTGCCAGTGACAAATCTGTATTGAGACAGCTTGCCGTCCAAATTCACCGAATGGTACGGGACGATCTAAGTCTATGTAAATCTTATTGTGTGTCTTTAATTGAGACGAATTCTAGATCTACTAAGTCTAATATCAATAGGGGAAAAAGGAGCACTTATACGAATTCGTCCTAGCATAAGGAATAAGAAATGGGACTTTTTTTCTCAGCTTCATCCGCAAATCTGTAAAATATAAAAATAAAACAATAATATTATTTACAGCAAATTTGAAACATAAAATGCATTCGATTCTGTTGTTTTTTGTTTGTTTTTTCAAAAAGGCTTCATTTCACAAGTATTTTATTACACGTAAAATATCTATCTATATCTATCTATCTATATCTATATCTATATATATATATATATATATATATATATATATATATATATATATATATATATATATATATATATATATATATACGAAATAGGTGAAAAGTTATTTTTTTGTTGTTAATGCAGTGTACATAAAATTTAAAAAAAAGAAGCAAAAGTTCGCTGTATCTTTGCAATATGACAAAATTAAAACTAAAATATTACTATCAATCTACATACTTTTAGGAGAGTTGGGTTAATTCGTGATCTTTATATAGTGTACGCGATATCACAAAGCGCTATGGTCATGTTAGCAGCACGTGATATTTTTTGGCGAATCCTCGATCACCATGACGTGGTGGCAGACAAACGAGTTGAAACCAGTTTTTGTTAGCTGGTAAAATTCCAAGCGTATATCTAGATCTATTTAGCTCCCGTGATCATAACCTGGATGTACTTGACCCAGTTTAATAGTTTCTTTTCTCCTTGTTGCAATGACATTCTGACGAGTGCTAACCCACTTACATACTAGATTTTCGGGAATTTTTTAAATTTACATTTTTAGGGTCATTTTTTTTTTACAGAACTTTTTTGATAATAAATAGGCTTACTGAACATGTGTCGCTAGGCAAGCATAGGGCCTGTATATGTGTGTTTGGAGGAGCACTTGTTTGTTATTGGAATTTAAAGGGTGCTTATTTCGGTGTGTGAAAGTGTGGAACGCTTATTTTTTGTGTGTATGTGTGTGTATTTGTTTGTAAAATGTTTTACATGTTTTGGATGTTCCTTCAGAGTTGAAGATAATTTACTTCCTAGTCGAAACCTCCCGCAGGATAACGTGGGGTGGTAGAGGGTAGGGTATGAACCCCGGATCATCGAGAACTAGGAAGGACACTGCAGCGCGCATATCGCTCATTTGTGTCAGTCAGTTTGAAATAGACGCTAGATTTGGTATGTTTGTGTGTGTTTGTTTAAAGGACGCTCGTTTTGAAGTGTGTGTGTTTAAAGGACACCTATTTTGAAGTGTGTGTGTTTAATTGATACTTATTCTGAGGTGCATGTTTTAAAAGGGCACAAAAGGACCGGTTTGGTGTGTGTAAATTAATATGTAAATGTTAGTTTCTTGGTTTGACTTGTTACCTATGAAGTGTGAGTAGAGAGGCTCGGTAACTAGAGAGAGACTAAATCTAGGATGTTCCTTCTGCGTTGAATAAAATCTACTCCCTAGTCCGAACCTTCCACAGGATAACGGGGATGGTGGCGGGCAGAGTTTGAACCCGGGACCATCGATAAGTGCGAACGACAGTCCAGCGCGCAGAGTACATTCTCACTAACATTACAACAAACTATCTATGGAAATAAAAATAACGAAACTACAAAAAATATACACACGTACACTTAAATACTCTAAACCGGACTTTCCCGAGATAAAGGGCCAACCGGGCCAATCTACACAAACTCAGGAAAAGTAGAACTCATCCTTGAGCAATTAAAAAAAGAAAAATCCTGACGTTTATGTTTTGAAAATTCCCGATTTTATTGCTCTTTTAAGTTGCGGGAAAATCCGTTAACTAATTTCAAAGGAAAATAGTGTTTGAGAATAAAAATTCCCGATTTGCTGAGCGCAATAAAAGGAGCTACCGTAAGAGGGCTAATTCTTGATTAATTATAGATCTAGTGTACCGTTATTACAAACGAGAAATGTTATTAAAGAAGTACCTTAACTTTCAATGTCAAATCAAAAAACAAAAGAACTCACATTCTAGATCAATTAAATTTATGTAGTCTAGTCTAATTTCTCATCATCATGTCATTTCCGTTTCGTCTAGGTCTTTAACAAGGGTGAAACTATTTTTAGATCTGGATCTGGGCATCAAAATGTCAAGATCTAATTTCTAATCATAATATTAGTCCTAGCAGTTGACTCAAGGCAAGAAATGTAAACGTTTAATGTGTAACTGCTGAGATGATTTTCTTAATGCCATTACGTTCAACTTTTAAATAGATAGAGACTCTAGATCTACATATAGGCCTAGATTCTAGATTATAGATCTAGTTGTTCTCCATAGAATTTTAATATTTATTAATACATAGGTCAGTGTAGGAGTTTAACTTTACTCCATTTTTATATTAAATATTATCAAAGAAGATAAGATGATCAAAATTGTTGATAAAGGTAGTTGGTAATTTTAAGGTAGAAGCTGAATAACTGTTTGTTGTTGTTGTTGTTTTTAGGGGGGTGGAAGTAAGGGATTGACTACAGCAGAAATAGTTATTCTTTCAGTATGTCAATTTAAATAACATACGTTATTTCCCACGATATCCACGTATCAATCAGGGGCGATTTTTGGGGGTCATTATGTCGAATGCCCGGTGGGCCGGTACCCAATTGGGCCGGGAAGGCCACTGAAAGGGCCGCATGAATGTCAGTAAATTGTTTTAAGATTTTATAATATTCTCTTTAAAAGCAACACTTTAAGTGTCGTGATTTTAAAAAAACAACATCTTATAGAATGTAAAGTCTAATACAAATCTAAAGCATTGTCGTAAATACCATACATCCGTATTTAGTTCCACTTATTAGATAGTTTCAAAATCATCTAATAATTATTGATATAGATAACTAATTTCGATACATTATTAAACTTTACACGATGCTCTTGATGACAGGTATAGCCTAATTGGATGCCCATCATGTGGCATATAATTTGTGGGCCGGATTGTATTGAAATGCCCAGGCCGATTTTGACACCCATTCCGCCCCTGGTGTCAATGTATGTTAATCAGTGACTTAAACTTTGCCAACTCGTTTAAGTTCCCCCTGGCTGATTCAGGCAACCCATTCCGTGCTCTATAATGGCTTTAAGGCAAAAGGAGTATTTGTACAAATGTATTCTCTATCATTGTGTCATTTAAATATTTTATTAGGTTTTGTTTTGGTATTTGTAAATTATGGTTTAGTGCTATTTTACTTTTTTTCTCTTCTTCTGTCCTAAGCGTCTCTCTCTCTCTCTCTCTCTCTCTCTCTCTCTCTCTCACTGACTTAAAAATAAATTTGCTGCCAAATGATCTCTTAAGGTGGGTAGCAGTTTAGAGTGGAATGCCTCATAAAAGGAAATTCTTTACACACACACACACAAAATAGAATATGATTAAACACATGCTTAATTACTTCAACAAATACATCTCTTTAATCATATACGTTTCACAAAACAATTATTCAAAATATGCAAATGTACACTATAGGCCCAATAAGGATGGACTTGGCAGGTCATTATGTAAACAGTTAATGGCATTACATTGAGCGTAGAAAAATGTGATTTAGAAAAAAAAAAGCAATGAATGTATAGCAAAGTTTAAATTGTTAAATACTTTATGGACGAATTATTTAAAATTATTTTTCTAATAACGTATGAGATGACTTTGTTATATTATTTTATCAATAAATAACATTTTTAAATGCATTTTAATAGAATTATTTTAAAAAACAAAAGTTTAAAAACATTGTGAAACAAATATTATTTTCCTTGAGACTGCTTGGGCTGTCATCAAAGTGGACATTAGCTACTTGCAACAACAACAAAAAACGTTTTTTTTACTCAATCAGGAAGTTATTAATTCTATTTTTATTGAGAAAAAAGCCTTTCAGATGATGTCAATTGTTTATAGCCTAAAATGTTTGACATGTTTCGGATGCTCCTTCAGAGTTGAAGACAATTTACTTCCTAGTCCAAACCTCCCGCAGGATGACGGGATTGGCAGCGGGCAGGGTATGAACCCGGAAGCATTGAGGAGTCCGAAAAACAGTCCAGCGCGTAAACAACACGACCAGGCAGCCTTTAGCCTAAGTGGTGCACCTTTACATAAATAGACTACTTCTGATTCATCGCAACATGTTAAACAATATTAGAGAATCCTCTCTAGACTTTCTAAATTAAAACACAAAATTAGATCTATCCAGATCTAATTATATTATTGGGTAATTGGTATTTTCGTGTTTAAGGCTCGACTACTAATAAACTTCAAAAAGTTACTTCCTGCATAGATACACTTGTTATAAGAACTCTTTAACTGTATTAGATATAGTTCTAGATATAGTCCCTTGTTTAGATATCGACAATAACTAACGGTAATAAGAACCTTTTTTTTTCTCTCAAATATCAATCAGTGGCACAGTAAGGAGTCCAAAATACTTTATAACAATTCTGGATATCACATATTTGGTCTATGACCTTACTCCCACACCAGTCTTCTTCACATTCACCTATTCGTTAGCCTGTTGGACCGTTGGGGCACCACACAATATCTGTCAACCGTCTTTCTCCATTCCTCTATCTTTTGACTTGCATAGAACCGCTTTCAATGGGAGGCCCGTCCATTCTTTTAGGTTGTCTTCCCATCGCTTTCTCTGTCTGCCTCTACCTCTTTTGCCTGGCACTGTTCCCTGTAG